GGGTTTATAATTTTAGCACTGCATGAGGTAGAGTGTCTAGACTTATAAAGTGAGAAGAAGTATTTAGTAGATTTTTCACTTTCTTCTATTCATTTGGCATTGGATCTTATTTGCCATTTTTCTGAGAGGAGAGTAAGCTCTTCTAGTAGTTGTAATTTGAGATTCTCTGCTACACTTTGGAGATCTTCAAGAATTAGATTTTTGGCTATTTTGTTGTTAATTGCAGCTAATCGTTTATGAATAGTGTCTATTGTTTTTTCTGGTGCTAGTTTTGGCTTGAAGGCTCTGCAGATTGATTGAAAGATAATCTTATGTGAGTCCTAGTTGCTAACATCTTGGATGTTTTCTATTTCACTAAAAATTTCTGATTTGAAATTTGTGAGTGACCAGAGCTTTCTGTTAAATTTCCAGTAGAAACTATATGCAGGTTCTGAGTTGAAGACTATCTCACTTTCTACAGGAAGGTGATCAGAGTTTTCAAAATGAGTACAAGTGTTTTTGCAGAATTGGCTATGATTAGAGTCGATGAAGATATAGTCTAATCGTGTAGCCATTCTTTGATTACCCTGAGTAATCTGGTAAAAAGTTAGGAAAGAATCTGATCTTGTAGCTTCTGCAGTATCAGTAAAGTCTGATACAAGGTTTTTAAGAAGATCACTGGATAGGTCTCTTTGAGGATATGCTTGGCTGATTTGGTTTTTTTCTGGGTTAATATTGACATTAAAGTCACCTGCAATAATATTGACTACCTCTTCATCTCTCAAAGGAGACTAGTTATTGAAAAGTCTCTTCTTTCATCCTGTCTTAGAGGAGCATAGACATTAGTCAGAAGGTAGTTACAGTGTTTATATATAGTCTTTGCTAGAATTATTCGACCATCTTTGAGTACTTGTGAGTTAGAAAATTGAATTTTTTTGTTTCTAGCAAGAATAACTGTTTTGGAGGACCAAATTGAGTTGTAGTTCCATTGATATGCAAGAAAGTTTCTAGTTGATATGTCTGTTAGATTTGTTTCTTGTAGAAAGATAATATCTAAGTTGTATGATTTTAGAAGTGTGATTGTTTTTTGTGCTTTGGACTTATTGTTTAAGCCTTTGACATTTAGTGTTACTATTTTGATTTTGCTCATAAGAAAGACGAAGTTTGTTAGGTTAGTCATTGAGTATTTTAATACTCTTGGTGGCGATCACCTTTTGTTTCATTGTCTGATAAAAGATCCCTTTTTCTCGAGGGTCTTGATGATTTGACATGATTTTGTTCTTTCTTGTTAGATTTGTTTTTGAGTATTTTCGTAGAGGTTGTTGTAGATGTATTATTATCTGCATTATTATTTTCATTTGTTTCCATAAGAACAACATCCTGATCAGTGTTAACCTTTTCGATCTTCATCTTTGTAGAGGCAGATAGAGTTGTAGTCAATGGTTGTTCTTGGATTTCTGAGTTGCTGCTTGTTGGAGATAGGTTTTCTGTTGTTAGTTTTACATGAGGAAGCTCTTGACAGCAAGTAGTAGTTATGCTTGCTTCTACAGTAAGAGGTTCATTGTTATCTGCAACAGTTTCATTTGTTTCATTGATATATGGGTTATTTGTACTGAAGGATAGGTTTGGGCTTGTAGTAGTCTTATTTCTTTGAGCCCTTTTTTCTTTGTGTAGACGTCTTAGCTCAATTGAGTATTTGAGTTTTTTACAGTTTCTTTTCACATGCCCTTCCTTTTCACAGTAATAACAGACTTTTGGGGCTTCCCTCCAGTCAGTAGTAACCTTGTGGTCCCCTACATGAGTAGTTCTAAGTAGTCTTGCAGACAGGTCTGGGTCATTTGTTGTTTCAAAGGAGATGATCCATTGGTCTAAGCAAACAGAGGTACCTTCAAAGAGAAGAGGTTTAATTGAGGCAATTGATTCTAAATCTTGAAATGCTTCTCTTATAAGAGCACTTGTTTCATCTTTATCTCCCATTAGAGTATTTCTAAGCTTGACTGAGAGGAAAGTACATTTGAAGTTGAAAGGAATATAACCAAAGAGAGTTTGTTTAAAAAGGTTAATCCCTTCTTCTTCATAGAATTTTTGTGAGTTCTTGTTATCAAATACAACTTCTAAGTGAACCCTTTTGCCCTTGATAATATGAGCTTTAGCTGCTACTAGTTTGTTTCCTAATTTTGTTACAAGAGCTAAGATAATATTATTAGTAGTGATGTTGCTTAGATTTTGAATATCAAAAATGAAAGCGTTCTCATTTTTGGAGTGAATTCTGTGCCTAGAAAAGGATTGAACAAAAGTTGCTTTGCCTCCTCTTAACTTAGTAAAGAGGTCTGACCATTGCTTAGGCTTAGAGGAGTTGTTAATGGAAGTACTACTTTTTTGGTTATTTGTAGTAGTACTTGTATTTGATTGGGAAGAGGTAGGCTCCTGAATTTCAGTCACGTGTTTGTTGTTGATGGACACGTGTTTGTTTTGATCATCTGTTTTTGTCAAATTTTCTTTTGTTGTTTTTCTTTTGTTTACTGAAGGTTCCTTTGTTTGCATAGTAGGAAAGTTTTCTTTATTTTCAGAAGATATTTCTGTTTCGACCTTGTCAGCTCAGCTAGTAATTTCTAAAGAGTTTTTGCTTGAGTTAGTTTCTAAGTTATCTTTTGCTCTAGTATTAGGCCTATGTTCTGTTTTGTCAGAAGTTTCTTCTTGGCTTGATGAAAGATCAAAGATTTTGTTTTCTATTTTTTGGGTTGACAGCTTAAGCTTTTTATTCCTAAGACTACTCATATTGAAAGTTACAAGTTTTCTTTTCCTGTTTCTTAGGCTTGTTGCCCTAGAAGAATATAATATAGAAGAGTTTTTTATAGCATTATCCAAGTTTTGTTTTTTGTGCATCCCTCGAAGTAAGGGGAAGCAGAGAGAGTTTTTTCAGCACTTAGATTAAAAACTTTTTTTTCTTCTTGTTAAAACTTCTTCTAGTTCTATTTTCATCTGTTCTTCTCTTTTTTTCCTTATATCTAAAGTAGTAAACTCTCTATCTTGGCTACTTGAGATTTTAGTACTCTTATCTTCTTCTATATTATCTTCACAAATTAGTTTATCATATTTATACTCTTCTTTTTTGTTTTCTAGTTTCCTTTTAGCCTCTTTATAGCCTTTCTCATAATTGAAAATTAATGTATACCATAAGTTACTTCACTTGAATTTTTTAGATATTTTCTTGAGATGAATATTTCTTCTAATTGACTACCTCAGAGATTTTTTTCTATGACTTATATTATTTCTAAGTACTTTTATAGCTGTTACCTTTACTCTTATAATCTTTTTTCCTTTATACTATCACCTTCTAATTTTTATTAATCAATATTTTCTATCTATTTTTATTACATAAAATCGTTTTTACATATTTTATTATTATAGTTTATTTCTAAAATTAGTATATTATTTTTTATTTCTATATTTGTATTTTTATTATGTTTATCATTTAAATGTATTACAAAAGTTTGTAAGAGGGTAATACCCTTGGGATAGTACCTAGATAGTATCCAGATAGTATCTTTCAAATGATCTACTAGATAGAAATTCTGAAGTACCGTACATCAAATGATTGTCACTTTGTGGAAGGATAGTATCCAGATAATATTCCTATAGCATTAGTTACACCTATATCATTTTTATAGATATAAATACAAGTGAAATTCCCCTAGTTCTCTTCATGTTAGTATAGTTCTGTAGTTTTATTCATAATTACCTTTAGATAATAATAGTTTCTTTGATTATTATTCTTTTATAATTGAATAGTTCTTTATATTCTCTTGTAATTATTAAAACGTCTATATAATAAAATACTCTTTAAATTACATTCTTGAAATATAAATGACCTTAAATTTATATCAGTAACCTACTTTAACAATACATCTTGTTAACATTGACAAGTTTACTTGATGTGTTAAAACACTTTCTTAAACCATAAAGAACTCACCTTTTTCTTTTATTTATTCTTTTGTTCAGTATTTAGTTAGTCGTATCTGTGTGATCCTATCTAAATATTTTGGAACTTTTCTGCAATTCTGTGTGAATTGTGAGCGTTATTTAGTTTATTTCTTTAAAATTGTCTGCTTAGTTTTGACAAAATTGGTACTTTCTGTGAGGTGGTTAAATTCTTATGTTTAATTGGAATACTCAGTATAATTTAATTAATATTCACAATTATTTTTACCAAAACCTAGTAGAAACTTTAAATTTATCTCCTACTTTTGATCTCTTTTTAGATACTTCTTGCACTTTTTGTTAT